CGGAAATGCTTATCTCCCCGAGCGCGGCCTTCACCAAACCATTCCATCACAGAACTGGGGGCGTGTTCAGGTTTTAAGGATCAGAAATTTGATCTGTCTCCCTGCCTTTCTCAGTGAAAGCAGAGCATTTCAAGACAATCCTCTAAGGCAGCGGTCCACAACCTTTTTGGCACCAGGGACCGGTTTCTTGGAAGACAATTTTTCCATGGACCCGGGGCGGGGGGGGTGTTGGTTTCGGGATGATGCAAGCGCATTACATTTATTGTGCACTTTATTATTATTACATTGGAATATATAATGAAATAATTATGCCACTCACCATAATGCAGAATCAGCTCCACCTCAGATCACCAGGCATTAGATTCTCATGAGGAGCATGCAGCCTAGATCCCTCGCATGCGCAGTTAACAGTAGGGTTTGCGCTCCTAGGAGAATCTCATGCTGCCGCTGACTTGACGGGGCGGAGCTCAGGAGGTAACGCGAGTGATGGGGAGCGGCCATAAATACAGATGAAGCTTTGCTTGCCCACCCTCCGCTCACCTCCTGCTGTGTAGCCCGGTTCCTAACAGACCATGGACTGGTACCGGTCTGTGGCCCGGGGTTGGGGACCCCTGCTCTAAGGGAAGAATTTGCTAACTTTATGGGAGGGAGCCAACAGCAAAGATTGTGCTGATTGGCTATAAATTCTAGGTAAGCTGCTGCCTGTGTTATGTCTGTTAACATGCACAATATGTTGAGGCCAGGAAATGAAATCACAGGCAAGGCTTTGCCAGTAAGGATCACCAAGGAGAGCTTTGGCTCTCACATTTAAGGTGAAACTTTGTTACGTTTGCTTCCTTTTTCCGTGGGAGAAAGGACACTGTAGGTGTCTTTCATTTCCTCTCCATTCTGAATTGTCTGCAGTCTTTTCCTTCCTCTTCTTCCTTAGGCTCGCAGTCAGGAACTGGAATCCATGCAACAAACTGTGGAAGAGCTGCGGCTCCAGATCCAGTCCATGGATGGCACCAAGGGCTGGTTCGAGCGGCGGCTTAAAGAGGCAGAGGTGCTGATCTGGAAGAGAAATAGAGCAGGAATTCCACCCTCACTCCCAGTTGCAGAAATCAGTTTCTGCGTACCACTTTATTCACTGTTGCATCTCAGTATTGGGACATAGACTAGAAGTGGCATTCTCTGGGCAGGCCAGTCAGGTTCCCTTCCAGTCTTATATTGAGCACCTGTCAGGCCCAGTCCAAGAACAACAGGGAAACAGTTCATCCATATTCAGTTCTTTTATTGTTCAGTTCAGTTCAACTTTATTGATTTAGTCTGTTGACCATATCAAGTATAAGGGAAATAAGATAAAATAAAATAAATGCCA